TTTATTTTCAGATGCACATATTTTCAAAAGCTCTCTGTTGTGTGTATGTGCGTATTTTAAATGCATCCCTCATTATACTTGAAATTTTTGTCAATTTCTTTCATGTTGTTGGTGTATGTATATTCATCCACACCTCAAATCAGCAGTATTCACTGTTTGAAGCAGCAAAACCAGACGCTAAGCAATCATCCCGTTCCAAACAGGCACATTATGACCGGGGACTAGTCTTTTCAAAACCATGGCTCATACTCTACTACAGGGGTTTTCAAAGTGTGAGGCGGGCCTCCTAAGGGGCGTTCCAAACAATTTTCAGGGGTTACTTATTGCATTAGTTATCAAAAGTAGATCACATAGAATAGCCTACATGTGTGAAGGTTCTGAGATACAGTAGTTTTGGGGAACTGTCTTCCCCCCATCATAGTCAGAAACTAATAAATGCCTTAGGACAGACCTGTTTTAAAACTATGTGGTGTAGTCAGACATTATGTCATACAGCAATATTAGGCTATCTTGGCTCAAATGTTGAGTGTCTATGGGATCAAATAATATAATCATGATCCCATAGGCATCCAGGAATTACGCGAAATTTACCAAGTAAACAAAAGATGTGGTGGGGGGTGGGATGGGTGGGGCGCCATTTCCCAAGCTTTGTCTGAGGGGAGGCCCACAGTCTCAGACTTTGAAAACCACTGTTCTACTATATTTACTGAAAGAAGTGAGCGCCCTCCTTTGGACATGGCAGGGACTGTGTGTGTGTGTGTGTGTGTGTGTGTGTGTGTGTGTGTGTGTGTGTGTGTGTGTGCGTGTGTGTGCGTGTGTGTGTCTCACAAGACACAAAGAAAATGGGTTGCCATAGCAACTGCAGATAGTAAAAGTGCAACCTCTTGAGTATGACCCTGTACAGACATGCTTAATTGTGTAAAGCCTGCTCTCATCCTCTTGAAAGAAGAGAGAGGCAGGACGCACAGGATGAAACCCATCTTGCTGTGTTAAGTCTTTGACCCTTAGATCATACATTTTTACAACATGCGTCTTCGTAGCACATAGCACATAAAAACCAGGAAATACATTTAATAAGTATTAATTTTAATTAGACTGATAAATCAAATATAAACTAAGGTATTGTTTTCGTTTTATGTTCACAGGTGTCCTCCTGCAGTGTAGTTGGTGTGAATTTGAAATGTGTATCTGCAATTTTCTGTGGTGGTCCCAGTAATATTTGTTTTTACTGAAGCATGTCACATGACATGGATAAGCTATGACCATGAGAGACTGAGAATATCAAACAATGATGATCTTAAAAAATAGTGCTAAAATATTATTAACACAAGTGTAGATATTTTGTTTTTGAAGCATTTAAAAATGAATTTAAAAAATAATTGTTAGGTTTAAGTAATCCCCTCTCACACTTTTACAAGACAGCCTATCATTTTATAACATATTTTGTTTATGCACTTCCATGTTTATGCCTGTAAAGCAGGGATACTTAAATTGCTTTGCTCGGGGGCCACTTTTGCAAAGTTAAGGTAGTTTTGGTGCCTAAACCAAACCAAACTGCGACCACTTGACACATGTATGTTAAAAAGGTTTCCTGGCAGAAAGACAGGAGGGCAAACTTCTCCCAAATGCTGTGCGGGTCAGGTGTACGTGAACGTTTTGCAGTGTCACCGCTTCTGCGCATTGCACAGATTGCTGATGGGCTAATATCCAACTTCCCAACTAACAGCCAAGGGACATTAGTGAACATTTACTAATTGGTATAAACAATCAAACAAATTCTCAGTGTGAATTAGTTTACTTTCATTGTGAATTAGAAAATGGCCCTCAAGCCACCAGGCACTGTAAGTTGAGTTTCACTGCTGTGAAAGGTGTTATTGCCAAATTCTACTTATCCAACAATATTAATAGTGATAGTATAACAGTAATAGTAAAGATAAAATAAAAGATACCTGACTAATTCTAAAAATGTACATATGTCTTTAAAAATATATGGTATAGTACCATAATCCACATTTGAAAGAACATATTAAAATATGATGTATCAGTTATTGGATGGTAAAAGCAGGGATGATTTAATGGAGAGGCATCTGAGATGTGAAAGGAAAGTATGATCCACTTCAAATGTCCGATCTGTTGGGAGAAACTGGAGAGGAAACATAAGTAAAGAAATTGTATTGATCCCTGGTGGGAAATTGGATTGTTGCAGCAGTAAAAGCAATGGGAAAAAGACAAACAGGAGTATGAAAGAAGCAATAAAATGACAGAGAATAATATGCAATGAAGCAACCAATATAAAAGAATAAACAATTATGTTTACTTTTTTTTATGTCTTACCATAAGAAATCACTGTGCTAACAATTTGTAGTGCATATATTGGATGGTATGCTTGTGAAACTGAAGAAATTAGAGAAATAAGTATTTCAAAAATACTTTTGGTTTATTTGATTTTAATGTAATAATGGTTTGTAGCTAAGGCTTTGCATGTTATTGTTGCAGGTTATAATTCAACTCAACTGAATTCATATGTTTTAATGTGAAACAGTATTACTAGTCAGACTTCATCCACATCTATTTACCTGCTCTGTCAGTGCTGAAGGCAGTGAGGAGTCATGGGGAAGTTCAGTGTGTATCAACAGATTTGTCCCTAAGCTCTCAAGAACAAGTTTTCTGCCAAAATTCACTTTTGTTATTGGTCCTGTATACAAATAAAGTGATTTAAACTAAAGTCACTTGTTTTTGTAAGTTGTTATTTGACTGATAGCCTTTTTTCCAAAGCACTAATTAACTGTTTTGTCAGTGTGTGAAAGCAGCACAAGGGAGACCGCACTGCTGGGCAGCAGCTCCAGGCTTTTCCTTCATCTCTCTGCGGTTGCTTCTCCTACTACAGCTACATACTTTTAGTCAGTGTATATTGTTTGTAGATAGTGAGTGAGTAGATGTATTGCCTTAATTCAAAAGAATGTTGTGCATTTAAGGTCTACCACTATTGGGGCAAGTACTAGTTATTTTGGGAATCAGATGAAGTAAGCCAATTTGTGGCACAGAGGCTGTTTATCCATCTAAGATTATGCAAATACAATGTGAGGATGCTTTTGTCATTATCTAAATGTCTATAATTGCTTAAATGCCTATTAATTATTGGATTCTCTTCAAGCAGTTCTATTTATGTATTCCAGAGGCCCACAAAGATTATTTTCTTAAAACTTTAAAACAATTTGAACATTTGCAAAAATCACATCTGTTGTTATTTATTCTTCTGTCACAATTTGTTTTTTTTTATCAATCTAATCTTCCACTCAGCTAATTTGCACTTCACCACATGGCAGCTGTCAATATGAATACATTTATATTATTTAATAACCTAATTCACTTGTGTAAATGGTCAAATATCCAGTTGGACTGGACTGGAACCATTTGATCTTGGGAGAAATAAATGAATCGCAGATATATTTTTCCAAAATAAAAAATGTACACTATAAAAATGCTATAGCTGTGAAGAAAATGCTCATAATGCAAGGGGACAAAAACTGTTCTACTATAGCATAGTTTTAAGATTTGTACCTATTTCTTGGAAAAAGACAAAGATTTGGAAATATCTTCAGAAAGCAAGAAGGAGGAATACTGAAGTAAAGTGGACAAGGACCAGTTCAGGATGATCTGGTCACATTAGGCCTAGTGCTTGTGCTTGTACTTTTTTCTCCCCTGTTGCTGTGTGTGCGTGATTGAAGCGATTATTTCAATTAATCATTCATTAATTATTAAAAACTGGGTAATTAATAAGCAGAGAATAGTAAAAAATAAAACATTTCATAATGAACCTATTACTGATGCATTCTCAATATCAAACCTACATAGTACTTTAGCCACTTCGAATAATAAAAAAGTATCAGTATCGATATTGGTGAGTTTGACCCTGGTATTAGGCTACTTGGTGTTGGAGCTAGAGCTGAAACTATTAGTGAATTAATAAATTATTTCATTGACCAAAAATGAATTGACAACATTTTTATAATCAAATAATTGTTTTAAGGTAATTTGTTTAAGAGCTGCAATTAAGAATCTGGTGCCCTATTACAGAAAGTTCCCATCTTAAGTCTTAAGATAGAAAGAGTCTAAGATAGGGTTTTTCCCACTTTGGTAATACAGAAGCAAATCCTAACTAACTTTAGAAATCCTTTGTTATGTTAATTCGTCCTATCTTATCTCAGGTTAGGAAATCCTAAATACTCAATCCAAAATCGGTTATCAACTATTATGTCTGTTACCCCCTTATTACCATGGTTACAAAGCAGTTAAGATAGGATCTGCTGGTTAGGAAGTATCTGTAATATGGCCCCAGGTCCCTTATCAATCAATCAGCTGGTCATTTTCTCAATAAATACATGAATTGTTTTGTCTTCTTAAATGTCAGAAAATAGTTTTAAAAAATACCCAGTTTGTCTGACCAACAGTTCAAAATCCACAGATATTTAGTTTACCGTCAGAAAGAAAAGCTGAAATTATCACATTTCAGAAGTGTTTGTGCTTTTTTTGCTTGAAAAATTACTGAAACGATGTTGCTGATTAAGCTTGCCTTATCGATTTACTAACTGTAAACTGTTAATATGGCAAGGTTGAACGGACATGTTAGATACGCCTATACCACTTTTATTTGTTCACATTGTTGGATCACTTTTGAGGATCATGCAGGCGCTGTCCATTACCTGCGGTGCTGAAACGAATGAATCAAACCAGCAATACAGCCATTTTGTAATTTTGACATCATAGTACATGGAAACCGTTACATTTACATTTTTCAAAGTAAGTTGGAACAGACTTAATTCAGCCTCAAACAAGTGGCCGTGGAAAGCTAGTTAGAGCCAAAAGTGCCAGTTTCCCTCACCGGCTCACTCCAGTCAGAGCGTGGTGTTGCGTTTTCTCCGTATCCGTTGCCCCAATTCTTTAACGCCTGATAGGTACATTTCTTACGCTCCCCGAGCTATTAAAGGTTAAATTACGTCGTGGGCGTAGCGGCTCCTTGTAATGGCGACCGTGCCGTAGATGTGCCTAGGTGTGTGAAAATGAAGCGAAGAAGAAGTTATTTCTTTTAAGTAAAACCCCGAGGTTCCCCGGAGGAGGACTTTGCGTCTACAACCATCATCTTTATAAGTGGTAAACTTAGCTGTACTTTTAAACTTCTGTGCCCTTTTGAAATGATGAAGCTCAAGTCAAACCAAACCCGGACGTACGACGGGGATGGGTACAAGAAGCGGGCCGCTTGTCTGTGTTTCAGGAGCGAGACTGAGGAGGAGGTGAGTCCGGGGATGTCGCTGTCTGGCGGGCCAAGCTAGCATTAGCAACCATAGCTGCTTTCTGTGTCTTCTGTCTGTAAATCGGTACATTTATCAACACAGCAGTGATTTTATGCCAGCTGGAAACTGACTAGTTTTTTTCTTAGACTCTTGAATTGTCTTCTGGTGTAGGTCATTAAACGTTAGTTTGAAGCTCGTACTTACCCAAGTGTTATATAAGCATCTTTAGCTGTACATAGCAATCTCGGGTTTTTCTACTCAGCGCTAGTCAACCTGTTAGCTGCGTGCTAATGCTAACGTTAGCTTGCTAACTAGCCGTGTTGCTGTTGTGGGCAGCCGGCTCTCGGCCAGCGACCACAGCCCACAGCACAGGCTGTGATGATTGACTTTAACACAATGAGATGCGGTTGGATAGAAATAATTGTTTAGCTTTGTTAAGTGACAGGATAAACATTTTGATACTCAAGCTACGGGTGATTTGACGAGGTAAAAACTGTTAGTATTTTAGCGTTAATGCAACTGGTAGGCTATTGCTAGCCAAACATTGGACTGAAATGTAACGGTAGCTACGAAACTGGTAATTAGTGATAACGTAACCTGGTACGCTTACATTACGGTGTATTTTGCGTTGTTTACTTTATTACTTGAAATTCATATTACTAACACTTGGATCAGTCACATGGCTTGATGACGAGCCCAAAATCGGTTTCGTTTTGTACAAATTTCACCACGTAAGTTAACGTTAGTTAGTTAACGTAACAGTTAATGTGCCACTCGATACCTTCGTGCGCTCTCTCATGAAAATCACTCAAAGTAGCCAGCAAAGGGTTATTTGAGATCAGAGGCGATTTGGGAAGCTGATGCCCAGTCAACAACACGCACAAAGATGTCTTTGTAGTGGAAACATTTAACCAGGGAAGGAGACGAATTGAGACCAAACTAATGCCTCATTCTGGCTAAAGTAGAGGAAACGCATCAGTATGACCTGCACGTAGCTAGAAATTTTAACCACAGACTGTAGTCTACAAGATCGGCACTCAGCCAAGCCTCAGCTTTTCTCCAACACATTGTTGACATCCATGAACGTGAATGAGTAAAACTCAGTAACTCATTGCTTGCCACTGAAAAAAAGACGTTTGATTTGCTCAAATGGTTAACTCAGCTACAGGTCACTTCAGTGCTAGTCTTGATAGTTTTCAGTGTTGTAGTTGACTGGTAGCTATTGTGTCACATGTTGGGGTTTGGCCTCTGGCGTCTATTACTAACAGTCAGATCACTGAATAGCAACACTTGCGTAATATGAACACTGTTAACAAAACAACATTAAGTTAGACTGCATTGCTCTAACCAGTCTTGTATGGGATGCTTTACAGGTGTTGCTGGTGAGCAGTAGTCGACATCCTGACAAGTGGATAGTTCCTGGAGGGGGAATGGAGCCAGAGGAGGAGCCCAATGTTGCTGCAGCTCGAGAAGTGTGTGAAGAGGTTGGTCCTTTTAACTGTTTTCCATAATTGTTATAATTAATAATTATCCTTTCTTTCCTTGTAACTGAATAATGTTCCCAGATAAGGAAGTAGACTGCACTGGCAAACTTTACTTGACCCTTGTATCTGAAACAAGGGTGTGAAACATGCCTTTCTAGACTTAGTTCATAGCCAGGAATATTGTTCTGAGAATGGATTTCCATTTGCAGTTGGCTCATAAGATGTATTGTATTTCATTTCTATTAAATCATGTCTGTATTTAACACTAGGCCTAATACCTTGCTCTCAAAACCCATTTCGTCAATGCAGTCATCCTGTTTGCATGAACAGAGAGGGAGAGCCTAGCAACATGTAAGCTGTATCATAGCATCATGTTACAAAGCAGTGTTTAGGTGTCACAGGAGGTCAGACTGAGATTGAACACTGGCAGCCCAGCGGTTTCACCGCAGCACTATCCAATCCCAGAAATACGGCAAATGAAGGAAAACAATCAGCTTTCATCCTTTTGTATGTTCTGACAGTTCTATTTTAACAGCAGCATCCTTGTTACAGAGGCATTTTGAAGGACAAAATGTCTTTCCGGGACTGTATGTTAACTTTTTTTTGTTTTTTACACATAATATTGGTGCTACAGAGATTGAAAGTTTTGTAGATTAAGCCACAAAAGTGTAGCACAAATAGGGCTGTGACTGTATGTATTTATTTATTTTTTCTTGCTGCTGTGGAAAAGCAACATCAGAGCGGTTTACTGGCAAATTGTATGCTTTAAGTAAATTTGCAGCTATAATAAGGCTATAGCCTGGTTTGGCATTAAAAGTGAACATATACTCTGTATCAAGTCACTATCTGTAATATCCTACAAGCCGGTAATGACGACAACAACAAATTGCAACATAAAAAGGCAACATTAACTAACTGTCGGTAAGTAGGCTAGCTTATGAGTCAGTAAAAACAATAAATCCCCATTGTACAACAGCTCTAAAGTGAATTGGCATATCCTGCTGGTTTATTTTTTGGTATTAATACTTTTTGGCAGGTAAAATAAATATGTTCACTTTGTTCGGTGTAAGAGAGGATCTGAACTTTCTGATCACCACTGATTGCTGTCACATTGGTGCTTTGCTCCTCTTGCAAATGCCTCAGAGACTCCCAACTGTCGCTGCTGGCCTGAGGCTGTACTTCCTCCTGAGGCAGGTGTGCTGCTGCCAAGCCAGGCAAACGCAGCAGGATGGTTAATTAAAACATGTGATCTTAGTTTAGAGAGATTTCCTTGTGAGGCAGATACTTTTTTCCTACGAATGTGGCATGTTGCCTCATCCAAGTTTGCCTTCTGCCCCTTGTCATCTGGCTCAAAGCCAAAATGTGCCCAAATTAGCGACAAAACATTTGGCTTAGGAACTAGATTCATGGTAATCGAATAATGTCAACTGGCTAGAATCGCCTGCATTGGAATTGCCACATAGGATAAGTGTATTTGCTGTAAGCACTTGGCAATTAAAATATTACTTTATACTTGTATCTTTTATGTCTGTGTATGTATTCAACTGAACGTTATCTGTAGATATAAGGTACTCAAGCCTAGAAATAGTTATTAACAATTGGACACACAAAAGCCTCCACCAAATGCACTCCCTCTTGTGTACATGCAGTTTGTTGCTTCGGCATTATGATCAGAATGGCGACAAGGCACTGAATCTCACCTGGCTGTCTGCTCTTGGTGGGTCACTGACCATATTCATAGTTTTCGGTCACGTGACATGCGCGGTGACCAGGAGGGGAAAAACAACAGACCAAGATAGAGTCTTGAGTTCTCTCAACTCAAGAAAAAGATAGATATGGACCCGACCATATACATCCATATGTGATCCATATACAGCACCAGTTGTTGTATTTCTGCCGTTACAAACTGCCAGATTCCTGCCAGCACTCAACTCTTGTAATGTTTACCTTGTAGGGAATCCCTCACCTAATAAAGCTCAGGCTTGTCTCCTTGTCGATTAGTGCATCCGAAAGCACAACAGCCATCCAACAATTTGGCAAAAGTAACAAACTCAAATTAACAGTGTATCACTTGCTTCCTGGTTGGCGGGCAACGGAAAATGTCTTTTTTTTGCCTTCCAAGGGAGCTTTTTCTTTGGAATGTGGCGTCACGTGAAAACTATGAATAAAGGCTATTCTCTGTGTGTGTGATCCATCACACTGATGGATGCTGGTATCATACCCTTATCCTGGCTCTTGCTGTTTGGTAGCTTTGGCGGTTGCAGGTTGCTGCTGCTTGCCAGCACATTTCCATAGTGTCAAAAGCAATGTCACACTACTGTTGAGGTTTGTTAAGAGTACTAAAAGGCTGCATTCAGAAACTTTGAGTGGTGCTCAATGCATCACCACATACTGTGGCTTCCTAAGCCTCTTATTGTACGGTGGTGTAACGGGACAAATCCTAATCCTGGAGAGTTTATTCTGATGACCATATGAGCAGTGAGTGATCGCTTATGCTTATTGGTCTGGAGTCTCTCCAAGGATGACGGTGAAGACACAGCACTCAGGAACAGGCCAAAGGTCACAGAGGGTTTCTGTGGCTGATTGTCCCAATTTATGCTCAGCTGTCATACCGAAGACATGGGACATGATTGCATAACTTGTAATGCAGCCTCAATACTGTATGACTTCTTCCAAAATGATGCCCAGTTCAGTTACATGAAAGCTTGAGTTGGGAGATGTTTCCACCTACTAAAAACATACAGTTTGACTTTTGGCCTATTACTTAATCCCTGGCACGAGTTTCTAGAGGTGGGCCTGTTCTTTTACATATGATCTTGCTGAAGGCCTAAAGAGACCACAGTCCATGGTACAGTGTGTGCAGTCAACATTTATTTATAGACTGAAACTGGAACTAAGGAGAAGAAGCTGCAAAGATGTCAGCAAGTGGCCTGGCTCTGTATCTAAACCTGACCTACTATTCACCTCTGGGAGTTGAGCTCTACCTTGGAGATTTGTTATTAGAATGTGTTTAAAGGTAACATGCAGTGAGAAATGGTTCAGGTTGTCTTTCTCCGTGAAAGGTTGTGACGTTTTCAAACATTTCCCATTTTTCATAGGAAGAGTAACCGCAACCGCAACTGCGACTGCAAAGCGCTTTTTCTGTTTTGTTTCTGACCTTTTCACATGATCCTTTGATGATACTCAAAACATCTTGTAGAGAAGCTGTCACCATGTGGCAGTAAGTGATAGCTGAACGGAGGTGTTTACATGTATTTAGCAGCTGTAGAATTTAGACCTGCTACAATTACTCAATTAACTGATTTGACAGAGAAGTTGGATATTTTGGTAACTGAGTCATTTCTTAAGCGACAATAACAAATGTGCTGGTTCCAGCTTCTAAAATATGTCCTATGTGTGTTCTATAATTGAAGGTTGAATATCTTCCGTTTTTTTCACTGTTGGTAGGAAAAAAACAGGACAAGACTGGGGTCCTGAGATATTATTTGCCTTTTTCTCTAGTTTCTGTAACATTTTGTTAACAATTAATCAGTTAATAATGAAAATAACTGTCAGATTAAATCATGATTGATTGAAAACTGTTAGTTGCCACGCTAACACAATTTTATACTGTAAATATAGTATATATAGTATACCAGTAGTTTGAGTTACAGTTGGTCGTAAATGTTCAAAAACATTATTTCCATTTAACTCTTTGTGATTATAAATGTCTGTTTCCAGATCTTAGATTGCCAAACAAATTTTATTTTACTGTTTGCAGTGACTTCAAGAGATTATGAGTACATGACTTCAGCTTCTAGTCAAATTAAGCGTTTTCGCATTTTTTACTTTTTATTTTGAGGATTCAGCAACAGGACAGGAATTAGACGGAATTCATTTGCAGAGGATAAAAACAATCTTGTGGCATAGTGTAAGCCACCACAACACAAACTACAGTTTCAAAATAAGCACACATTAAATCAGTCTCTGCTAGTCTCAACAAAACACTATGAGGTTCAAAAATATGGCGTTTATTATCATGGTATAAGACAGCATTTTATTATACAGGTGTAAGTTGTCCTTAGTCCTTATGCAGCCCTTAGTTGTCCATTGTAACTGTTTGCTCACCATTTTAATAGTTTTTCTTTTATTTCACAGGCTGGTGTGAAGGGGACTTTAGGGCGCTTAGTTGGAGTATTTGAGGTGACGTTTGTTTGCTGTACTTTTTTTGGTCTTCAAATGTCAACATACAGCATGTTGGGAATGAGAAGTGAAAACATGTTCATTTTGTTTCCCCCACAGAACCAAGAGAGGAAACACAGAACCTACGTCTATGTTCTTATTGTAACAGAGGTGCTGGAGGACTGGGAGGACTCTGTCAACATTGGTAAAGCACTGAATTTGTTTACTTGTCAAAATGGGGATCATACGGACAAAGTTCTCAGGCAGTCACATGCTATTTGTAGCTTATTTTTGCTTTCCCAGGCTTTGTTCCTGCCCTTGTGATTTTCACTTTAAAGCTCTGTACAGTACTGATAATTAGTCAAAATCTATTTTCATAAAAATCTCATGTTGTGTCTCATGCCTAAACTTGCTCTACAATGGTGTCTTGTTCTGTCAACAGGGAGAAAAAGGGAATGGTTTAAAATAGACGATGCCGTACAAGTGTTGCAGTGTCACAAGCCTGTGCAGGCCACCTACTTCGAGGCTCTCCAGGAGAGTTGCCTGACCAGTAACGGAACACCTTTGGTGGCCACGATAGGTGGGGACCTCTCCCCTACCTACAGCATCAATCAGAGCTCCGTCTCGGATATCAGATAACTAAAACCATAACTCTGACACCCCCAGGAGCTTTCGCCACCACTTGCGCTCTTACTTGTGTCATTTCTCTTCTCTTACTCTTTTGTCTCAATAACATGGTTTGCCTTGCCAACTCCTTTGTGCCAGAACTGTGGCACAGACTTGATGACAAGTGTCGGGTGAATAGTCTGAAACACTTTGTAAATGTAAAATTTTTGACCCCTCTTTTTTTCTTTTTACTGACAACTGCATGAAATGTCCCCTCACACCCTCTTTCCTTAATGCGCCCTTAGAGTGGTGTTTATTGAATGCAAGAACTACTTTTTACTGTTGTAATGTAAAAGTGTATACTTAGTGCTTAAGCTGAATGCTTTTGGTGATCTTTTTAACGTTTCCTTCCTAACGTTATTTTTCTGTGAATGAATGTGCCCATTAGTGTACTCCCTCACCTGTTATAAGGATAGGAAACGTTGTCTGTATCTGAATGAACAGAACTGTGGGAAATGACTTGTCTTGCATGAGCACTGTTTTGTTGTGTCACTCGCTCGAGTGACCTGATGCTGACGTAAGGTCTGGATTTTCTTCATTTTGGTCCTTATCGTGGTTGTTGATGTCTCTTTAATCAGAAGGATACGGCCCCTGACTAGTCTTTAGTGTCTAGTGTGTTTCTCTCTTATTTGGGAAGCTAGCCAAGCACTACAAGTTTCACTCTCAAACAGTGCGTATATACTGTAAAGAGGGTGAAAGAATGTCAACGTCCAATGTAACATGAACCACCTTTCTCCTCAGTGTCTTTACCTCCTTTTAATCCCTTTTTTTGTTCTCTTTTTAAAAAATGCTTTCTTGTCTTGTGGCTGACCACAGTCTTCCTCCACATACTATGAGGTTAAAATGGTAATTAAAATAGTAATAGATTTAAAAATCATGGACTTGTAATTTCAAAATTCAACACATCATTTAAGTTATTAAAAACCCATTTCATATTTTACTCCTCACATTCAGTTTGGTTAAAAGCAGTTGTTTACATTGTGTTCGTAACATAGCACAGGTGACTTTAGTGGGCACTTTTCATTATCGTCATGATTTCTTTTTTTAACCCTTCCTTTTAGTATTTAATCTGCATCCCCAAAAACACTCAAACACCTGCTTGACATTGAAAGTAATGGAATCTATAAATGCTGTCTTTGGCAAGATGCAGAACAAACAAGCCTTGTACAGTTTAAGACCTCGTTTTTAACATGTAAAATGCTTTTGGATACTAGTTTTTGTTTTTCTCTCTTAACGTCTGGCAAAAGTCTCTTTAGCTGAGCTGCGTCACTTGGCCCTCGATGTGGCGGAGGCAGCTGGCTCAATACTGTGAAACTGGAGGCGCTGTAGATAGCATGTTAGAGGTTTTTATTGTAAATTGTTTATTTCTGTATAGATCAAAGGTGAGAGTAAAAATGACAAAACGCCTCTTACACATCTGTGAGCCGTACATTTAATTTCAAGTGAGGCTGGAAGAAGTGATTGAACTAATCCTGTTGGCTTTGGAGCTGTTGGCAATTTTCTCTTGCGATAGCATACAGTACATTTGAGGCTTAACAACAAGGAATGTGGCTGTGTTAGTAGGTGAGAGTGAATATTGAAAATTCTTACATTTATTTAGACTAAAACAAACTTTAAAATGGTAAGGGATAACTGTTTTTCACCCTCATTTTTGGCCAAACTATAAAATTAAGTAGTAACATTTTTAACTAAGTAACAGCAGTCTGAGTTTTCAAAACCTGAGGTCTTTTTACAGCCAGCAGCTGTTCCGCTATCTCAGGTCACTGTCATTTCCCATAGAGGGTTTCTTTTATTGGTCTTTTGTAAATAATTAAACCACTTGGCCACTTACGGACAAGGAAACGCGTTCTAAACACAACATTGAAATATTATCACTTTTTCTAATTAATATGGTCAACATCTTTACACACCGGGTGTTGCGTCTGTGTCCATTTGTTAAATTCAAGTCAAATATTCACTTCTTTTAGCTCCGTTTTGGTCTCCACCAATTCTTGTGGGAAATTTAAAGCTCCTTGGCCACTAAATGCTCCACTCTGTTCACCAGCTGATAACTTTGGCCCGGTGTTAGGCGGGTAGCTTACAACAATTTTATTTTAATTTTTTTTTATAGGTTTTTGCTGAAAAGGGTTACTGTTAAGTACAGTAGCAGATGTATATTGAAGCCGTCATGGGAAATTGCATTGAGAATTGAAAGCTAGTGGATCTAAAACAAGGTATTTTCTCCCATTAATTGTGTTTAGGGGGGCACAACTCTGCCAACAAATCGAGCTGTAGACAGACTCCAGATATTGGCCTCTTTGTAATCCCAGACTGAAAATGTGTTTTTCTGAATGACAGTTCAAAAAGGAGTCTAAAGTCTCTGTTGCAACAGTTGGAGACTTTAAACTTATTTTATTGCTTTGTATCAGAAAGGTGTGGTGGCCAAAGTCTTTCTTTATGATGCCCTACCTGGCACTTCATGAAAAATGTTTTATGTTGATTAGACCTTTCAGTCTTCATTGAAATGTACAATTGGATGTTAAGGGGATGTTTATGGCTCAGAACAACCTAAAACCTATCCCTGAGTAATTGGCGACGATGCATTTGCTCTTAATGGTTTGATGTGGGTGACAGGTACTGTCAAAATGAATGTGAGGAGGATTTCCACAAGTAACAGCCAGCGATTTGATTATTAATGACCACTTGTTCTTTTTTTTTTTCTGTTTGTTCTTTTAATCTGTAATGTTATTGACAAGCTAATGTCTTGTATATAGCTAACTTAGCACCCTTACAGCCAGAGGATGCACTTTGGCTTTAGTCAATAAGTATTACTGTCCTTTTTTATTTTTAAACTCCTTTCCAAAAGAAATTCAGACAGTTCCCTTCATGAGTTAAGTGATGTAGGCTGGTGTTCAGGAGGAAATTTATGAAGTAAATGTCTCCACAAAGGGATGTTGTAGTTCATGTGGATTAACAATGGAGTGAACGCATCTACCCTTTCCTCACTGGGGATTTCTGCTATCAAAATTGTCTTATTTGTATGTGAGTTTGAAGCTCCTGAACTTGGAAAAAACAAATATTAAGAGCAGATCACGTAATATTCAGAAAAGGTCATTTCCTTTTATTTAACCAAAGGTGATGATTTAAATATATAGCCCCATCTAGTGGCTAAAGCGAAAATATTAAAAGCACATCACTTTGCAGCTGAGGATTGTAACGTTCAGTTTCTAATAGCGTTATAGTCAGGTGGTCATTTTCATAACTGAATAACTTTGGTAATTAGAAAATAATTATAAATTGAGTGAAAAAAGCTGCTTACCCCAAATACTTGTAATTGAGTAACAAACTAAACACACGTGCACTTCTAGCCGTTGACCTCAGCCTTGAAGTTACATACTCGTAATTGTGTTCTCCAAGGTATATGTGTCACTGGAATTTTCTTTTCCTCTCTTTTGTCATTTGGGACTGTGGAATAAAACCAGTGTGAGAAGACTGAAGATTGTAATATAAATGTGCCAACAAATAAACACCAGTATTTCAGATTCAGGCCGGTGTCATTGTGTTCATGTAGGGTTTTTTTGCTAGTTGTGCCTGCAGTACTTTTTTTCATACAGTATTACTTTACTAGAATGTAGATAAGAGGATTAATTTTGTATTCTACACTAATTAAACAGAGACTTTCTTTTTATGTAACCAGTTTTGTAATAGTTATGTCACCATTCCATGCTACACGCTAATGGTATACAATATATTCTAATCTTTACATAAATCAACACATTCAACTGCTTTATACTAACAGCAAATTATACAATATGAGTGCTGTCAAACTTTAAGCTGCAACATCAGTGTTTTATTTATTTTTCTTTCTGTAGCTGTCTCAACACCATACATAATTCTAAAAATATTTTAAACTGGGTATTTTTCATTTTACAAAACAGGGTTGTATAACTAGAATAAGTTTGTAGTTCCCTTTATGCTACTCACAAAAAGCACTTAAACACCGCGGACACAATTATTAGGGCAACAAAATGTTTAATTGTCCGGTGGTCACGCCTCAAAAGTCAGAGTGTTGCATTTGACTGAATAGCATTTTACAACTTTTTTTGACTTTTCAGCATGAGGTAAATGTCTGTGTTTAGCCCATTTCCCCTGAAGTAATGAAGCTGCCTTATAATCATGTACATCTTCATATAAGGTGTTCTTCACTTTCGCCACACCCTCCCTCGTTACACAAATACATATCACTTGAAAATGATTAACTCCAATGAGCATTCAAGTTATATGGTATGGAGTTGGAAAATGTGCATAGAAACAATTATTTATTCAAAATACTTACTTGCCTATTAATGGCGCACAGTGTATACAGTAAATAAATCATAGAAATAAAACCATCTTACATGGTGCAGTGCTGAGGATGACATGAGGAGTCACAGCCTGAGGGACAGCAGGGTGAATAGGATGTGGCTGGGTGGGTACTGTCTCTTAGCAGGCACTTCACCAGTATCACTGATACTCGGTAGATGGGTACCAATGATCTTCTGAGCAGTTTTAATCAGCCACTTCAGAGTCCTCCTGTCCTGGGCCGTGCACCTCCCATACCAGTTTGTGATGATTCTAGTCAGCGTGCTTTCTAGTGCTCCTCTGTAGAAGTTAACATGAACTTCGTCTTTTTAAGTTTCCTCCAGCTTGGAGATGTGAGATGACCTTGTCAGGTTCTCTGGGAATCAACATCCCAGAGAACCTGAAACTGTTCACCTGCTCCACTGATGTAGACAGAAGTGTGTGTCTTTGTCTCCTTTTTCCTAAAATCAATGATCAGCTCCTTGGTTTAGCTGACACTGACCAGTGGGTTGTTCTCTGTGCACCACTCTGCAAGATTATTGATTTCCTCCTGATATGAAGTCTCATTCTTTGAAATTCGGCCAGTGATAGTGGTGGTGCCCTACACAAACTTCACAAGAGTTGTCTTGATGTCAGGGGTTGCAGCGTGAACAGGAGAGTGCTGAGCACACAACCCTGGGGGGGCTACAGTGTTGAGCACTTGTCTAGAGTGGAGAAGGTGTGCCCGCCAATCTGAACTGTCTGGGGTCTGTTTGTGTCCAATATCCAGTTGCAGTTGTTTTTCTCAAGGTGTGTGTGGGCTGAGGGGAGGGCAGTGGATCGGTTTGTTCTGAAAGCAAACGGGTAAGGGTCCAGGCTGACTGGGATGTTGTTTTTTTTTTATGTCCTGCAGTGCCAGTTTCTCAAATCCCTTCATCAGAATGGGGTTGAGACTACACACTGCAGACCTTTCAGTAGTTTTACCCACACATGATGTTCCTGCATTTGTAGCATGTATACTGATTCTAAACATGCGTTTGCAAATGTGTTTACCATGAAAGAACAGACACCAAAAGTGAAAAAATAAACTATAAAAAATAAAATATATATAAAAAAAACACCTTTTGATTTTTGACTGCCGTTGATGCACATACAATGCTCTGCACAAAGGAACTGAAGTATTACATTCTTTGGAAAAACATTTTAGCTTTGAAGTTTAACTGGCCATTGAATTCTCAAATTGTGGTTTTATAGCGCATATATAATTTCATGTTCCATTTTCTTTGTGAATTGCATTGTACACTTGAGCCTTCTTCAGTTAGACAGTTTTCCAGTGGGAACACTCTAGATCTACTCAATGATATGTGGTGAGGAAATGGGACGCAACTAATGACAATGCTTTTACATTTAAAGCAATCATTAAAAAATGCATGTGCCATTCCATGTGATCTGGACACTAGTTTCATTTTTCCTTTTAAGATGTTATGATATAATAATTCATTTTGGGTGAGAGCTTAACAGAGAGCAGTTGGGTGTAGAGTGCACCAAAACTATATACACCCCAATAAAAAGGAGGAGGAAGCGTAATGCAAAGTTATGTGTACCAAGGTTGTGTAGTGTCTTCAAGTGCCCTTAATCTAACCCAATCAGACACCTCCTTCCCAACCATGACAACTCGACTTGGGAGCCAAATAAGCCAGTGGCACTTATCCACAGAAGACACTGACATGTTGCAGTAGAATAAACACAGGTGTAAATACCAATAATGGCTAAAAGGTCCCAGTATTGTGCATGCTCTTACTGGGACACTTCAATAGAGCCACCATTATTACTAACATCTGCTCTATTCCTACTATGAGAAGTAAAGGTGTCTGCTGTGAAAGTCCTACTGAGCTTCCTTCTAAATTTCAGAATGCATGTAGCAAGATTCAAGTAATCTAAACCTGCTGCTCAGCATGAAAACATGTTTGAAACAAACCGTTTCAATCATCAACCGCAATCCTTAATAAAAATACAGATGAGTTGTAATTTGATTTTCTTTATTGTACAGAAAGAGTGAGTGAAATTTACTGAGGCTGCTGTCCTCTGCCGCGTCCGAAGCCTCCTCTCTGCAACAGGGAAAGATTTTCAGTCAACCCCAATTCAACAGAAGAATAAGGTTTTCTAACTGCACGATACAAACTTAATTTAGCTTGCTGGCATTCCTTACTGAACACAAAGTAAGCTCACACCAACAAACAATTTTAAGGATTGTTGGGTATTCTTGTTGTATAATTGCGGTAGAAAACATTAATTTGCCAAAACATGAACAAAATATTCAAGACCAAAAATATGCCTTCAATACAAATATAGATACAAGAAATTTAAGAATTTATGGGTTAACAGTGCAAATATATAAGCAGTACTTACAAACTGGAACTCTGTGGCAGCTCCAGCACCGGCCTCTGCTTTCTTGTCTGCACCAGCTAATGGAGAAATTATGAATTAACAAGACACCAGAAACTAGCAAAAAGGAGGCTCACACAATGTTTTAGAGTACTCCTCACTACATTAAAGCAAAGATAGCAACGATAAATACCTCAGGTGTGAAAATACTAAACAAATTCAATTACTTGCCGTATTAAAACTTAAATGCACATGGTTGAAGTTCCCTTAAAATATGTTATTTATGTAAAATCTGTATGTTTCTTTCAAGGATATTGAATTCTCCCATTTCATTCTCAACAATAAATTGTTGGTAACTACAGAGCGTTCATTACATTTATTAATTTAGCTGACGCTTTTATCCAAAGCGACTTACAATTGCTAATTATGTCAGAGGTCGCACACCTCTGGAGCAACTAGGGGTTAAGCATCTCACTCAGGGACACAGAGGGGATTTGAACCTGGGTCTCTCACACCAAAGGCATGTTTGTTAGCCACTGCCCCATCACCACCCCAATTCATAATACCATCTTAGAAATGAACCTACCAAGCTAAGAAGTCACTTAATGTTAACGTTATGCTGCTCATTCCAACTATTAATATATAAGCAACTCAGTTCATCGAGTAATATTGTTGTAAGTATACTTACGGGGTGCAGCAGATCGCCTGTATGCATCTCTGTCAGCCTCCCCACGGTTAAGGCGGGCCGGCCTCTCTCCTTCCATTCCTGCAGAAATAAAGGATAATTCAGCTACGGTTCACTATGATTATGGGTTATTTTGCTCCAAAAAAAGAAAGAAATCAGAAGACAACCAGTATTGTTTAAAGTGAGAGCGCAAAGTGAGCAACAGTATTTATTTTTTTAAAAATTGCCTCAGGAACCCTTATGAGCAGATTATTCCTCACCAATGAAGTGGATTTAGGGTTTATTTTACCCCCGCTGACGACAATGCTCGTTATCCATTAGGTGCAGCAAAGTCAGACAGTAATTTATCAAACGTCCTTTGAACACACAGAACATTAACTTCCAGAAATGCAGACGCTCTGTCAAGTTGCTGTTCTATCAAAATTCACTTTGTTATGTTTTACACAGACATATGGTGCTCGTTATGGTAACAGCAAATTGTTAGGTACAAGGTACAAAGGAACACTGAGCCTAATTTAGTTATGCATCTGAAAATCTGATGAATTCTTGTAGACTTTGAGGCTGAGATCAACCAGCTCCTTCTCTCTACCAGCAGTAGCTGTACAGTAGTGAGGGACTTCACATCAGCAGGAGAGAACTACTGATGCCACATGGCTGAAACACCAAGGCCGAGAGCTTTGGGTGACCATGAACCAGTCCAACAGTATGTACAGTTACATATATATGCGTGTCAATAAGGAGATGAGGCCTACAAAAAAAAATAAACCAAGGTTATTACAAACGGGTTTATAATGAATGAATTCCTTATTCTAGAGATGTTGAAGGCTCTCTAAATATTTCCGTCTTGTTAAAACATGACAATTTGAAAATATTTTTTAAGATTACTGGTTACAGTATTGGTCACAATATTGGTGCATCTCTAAAGCAAGACTTTCTGGGGATCCTCAAGGATTCCTGTTTAATTTTAAGATACTACTTAAATTACATGAAGAATAAGCTGTTCTGGATCGATTTGAGTTTTAAATAGAAAATTCAGCAGTGTAATCAACAATTTGATTTGAATAAACCCAAAACAGGATGATTAACAAGCTGTATAAAGTCAGTGCATTTTAAAAAAGGACCCAAGAAACGCAGTCCAATTTGACAGCTTATTTAA